CCCACGATAAAAGCATAGAGGAAAGACACAGGAGTTTGAACTGCCCCGGGCTGTAACATCTGGCCAATTACCGCTTTCTGTCATGCCCAGCATGTCCGTAGCTAGAGCGCAGCGAGAGCTTGCTATGCACCATTTGTTTCACAACCACAAAATCCCTTTGTACCCTATGATCACTACCGCAATTTTTCACTGGTAATCTGCATCCTTAACAACTCTGTGTACTGAGGTATAGGAAATTGAATAGTCATGCAGTTGGTTGGTGCTTGGTTTGATCTCGTAACAACATCAAGTTTAATGCTTGCACAGTTGATTGCATTATGCTGTGTGCCCTAAATGTATTTGTGCAGTCGTTGCCCTTAATGAACGCTTTCTTTTGGAGTTATTTTGGGGATAAATTGCCCCGTTGTTCACAAGATTGTGTGTTTTGTTTTAATTATTTTTATTAAGGCATTTGTACAAAAGCATTTTTTATGAGATTTCATGATCACTACCTGTGATGAAATAGTGCATTTTTTTCTTTATGAACTTAGCTTACCAGCAGTAGTCAACTTTTTGTTAGTCAGTCTTAGCCAAATTCGTACAAAGTCTCTGAAAACTGATGTACGCATTGGAGGGAGGGGAATAAACTTACAAACTCTGCATGCATAATGAACAGTCTATCAAAATTAAAAATTTAATTTACGATGGCAATAGTAGGTCTAATATCAGGGAGTTTTCTCTATTTTCTGGTCAGTATTAAAAAAGCCAAGACTGGATTTTAACTCGGGTCAACTGATCTATATGTAGAGTAGTATTCAGAGAGGTACAAAGGCACAGAATTATTGAACATTTCTTACAAATGCATCAAAACAGATTGCCATTAAAGCACTAACCCCCTATGGGACTGGCATATCCCTTAACAGTGATGCCTATAGACTGAAATCCTGACTTCACACACACCTTGTGGATAGTGATCCTCCACAGTTACCACCTTCCCGCCGGTAGCTTTAGCTGCAGCCAAAATGGTGTCCTTGTCCAGGGGCTTGATGGTGAAGGGGTCAATGATCCGGACTTTGATGCCCTCCTTGGCGAGGATTTCGTAAGCCTTCATGGCCTCGTCTAGAGTGACCCCTGCACCGATGACAGTCACTTTGTCGTCAGCACTCTCGCGCACCACCTAACAGAAGAAAAAAATTCCACACAAGGCCTTCATCATGAATTTTGACAACTTCAATTTTAATTACAGGTTTTGCCCTTACCCGATACTCGGTGCTTGTCCAAAATCTTGTGAAGAAATTCACAAGCTTACTCAGGTGGGACTAGAACCAACGACCTCCTGCTTACTAGTGCAGATATCTTAATCACTTGACCACTCAGATTGTCGGGGTCGCGTGGCTGGTTCGAGTCAGATGTAGAAGCAGGTACTGCAAACTATTTCAAGATGTACCTTGCGTTAGAAAGATGTAAATTTTGATTACAGGTTTTGCCCTTACCCAACTGAGTATACAGTATTTAAAAATATGTACGAGTCCCAACAAAGTAAGCTTGTGAAGTTTTTGTAGTCTCTCGAACAAGCACTGAGTATACAGTGTTTATATACGTCGGGTAAGGGCAAAATCCATGATTAAAATTAATATCTCCCTGACACAAAGTACCAGTACATCTTAAAATTTGACGTCTTTAGAGAAACTCAGTTCCAAAGTGGAAATCTGGACACACTGTTATCTACTTCATCATTTACATGTATAGTAACTCAAAAATAAGTTTTACAAAATATGAAAGTGGAATGAAAGGTGCTCTGTAGCTGTACTGCTTATTGTTACCTGGTCCCAATACCTTGTTTTCAAAACCCCTTTCTGTTTAAGAATCACCTACTGGTGTGACATTGTGGTTGCTAACAATGTGACCATAGTTCCACTCTAAAGAACTGTCCTCGAAAGTGTGAGGAAACGCTTAACATATCACTACATGAACTGCATGTGCATAGTCACTGATCCCTGTTTTTGCCAGCTACATGTATTTGCCAAACATCATCACACCAATTTCAAAGAAAGTGCCCTCAAGCACCTGCTGTCTCAGACGTTGAAGCTATAGAGTTACTCAGTCTCCAACTAGCAAAAGATTCCAGAACCAAACAAGGACTTTGGGAAGCCCTTCACTTCACAGATACCACAATTACATTTAAAAAATCACCTTGGCTTTGCCTATCACAAAGGGCTCTTCAGCAGTATACAGGACCGGCATCGCGGGGCGGCTGGAACGGATGAAGCAGATGCCCTTAGTGTTGGCTGCCAACTCCACGGCGCGCTCCATGGACACGGCGTCGCTTGGATAGAAGACTGTGGATCCCGGGATGGAGCGGAACATGGCCAAGTCCTCCAGAGCCATCTGGGATGCACCGTCCTCGCCTGTTGAGAAGGCAGGGTCCCATAACGGAAGTTTAATAGTGGAGTTAAATTATGCTACTCAGTGAACGGTACACATCACCACAACATGGAAGATGGAATTAGACACAAAACGAGCTCAAACTTATCAGCTTTTAATCTGCCAGAAATATTGCACATGAACATTTTATTTATAACAGGTTTTGCCCTTACCCAACGTATGTATTAACAAACACTGTATGCTCAGTGCTTGTCCGAGAGCTTCCGAAAAAATTTCACAAGCTTACTCGGGTGGGATTCGAAACCACGACCTCCTGCTTGCTAGTGCAGACATTATAAATTAACATCTCCCCAATGCAAAATACATCTTGAAAAAGCACATGAACGTGTTTTCATTCCCAAACAGTGCCACATGCAACATGACAATTTTTTCTCTTGCTTACACACATCAGATACATTATAAGCATTATAACAACTGCCTTACTACAAAGAATCATAACTGGTTTTCACTGACATTCTTGACTACACGATTTTTTGGGTAATTTCATTTAAGCATATACATTTCTTGTCTTAAAAAGCCTCATTTGGCAAGAGCTGACACAGATCCAGACAATAAGAACAACTTTTAAAGTTCTCACTGACAGTGTCAACAACAAAAAAAGGAACAAGAAAGAAAAACAAAACAAAATCGAAATCGTTCTGCCACCTCGCAGCAGCTACAAACTGTTTAGTGGCAAATTCTCAGCTGCAGATACTGTCAGTAATAATTTCCAGCACAAACAATGGAACTTCAAGCACTCTCTGAGAGGGTCACTTTCAAAACTTTAAGAATTCCTTCCCAGGAACCGACGACACATCTTGGCTTAATGTCAGACTGGAACACGCTGTATTCTCTATACTGTTGCTCAAGTTGGGTTATCAGTAGGAAGCCAGAAGTGCCCCAAAATGGTTTTGATGGAAATGTTTTCCACATTTTGAGACTCTCTTTTCCCTTAAAATTACCAGGTTCATCAGAATTCGTCACTAAGTTTTGAATGATTTTTTTTGCAGTACTGACAAAGGCAGAGGCAAGCTACATGTATATTTCATCCATGCTGGATTGACCACTCCTTCAACTTTTAATTGCACAAAGAACGCAAAATAATGCATTTTGGAGGGGAAAAACTGCCCTAAGTGCAAGGGTTGGTCAGCCAGGCTCAAACTCACCAATGGAGATGCCGCAGTGGGAGCCACAGAAGTTGGTGTTGGTCTCAGAGATGGCACCCATCCGTATTTGGTCAAAAGCGCGGCTCAGGAAGCAAGCAAAGGTGCTGACAAAGGCCACATTGCGGTCACGGCAGGTGGTGCCAATTGCTACGCCTACCAGATTTTGCTCAGCAATGAAGCACTCCACAAAGCGGTTAGGGTGGGCCTTACGGAAGGTGTCGGCGTAAGTGGAGTTCTTGGTGTCACCATCCATAGCTACCACACATTCGTTGCTATCCCCAATCTTCCTTAGGCCAACGCCATAGGCGACACGGGGAGCCACCTTGAGAAGGGCACAAACAAGACTTGCTGCTGAAATCTTTATGCAATGATAGGTCTTCAGTGCCAGCCAACTACCAACCTTAAGGCTAGTTCCAAGACTGACAGGTTCCAACTATTTAAGAGAATCTTTACGTCCAAAAGCTATCCTTCCTTTTCTGAAAATTACCAAAACCTGTCAAAAATTTTCCACTGAACACTATTAGTTTTATTATTAAGATTTAGATTTTCAGGTAATGTTCTTAACGTTAAGAAATGTCTGTAATGTAAAAATGCCATTCTTCACTCATTTCCACACAGCTGTCAAGTCTGCAACCTTTAATCAAACCTACTTACTGTGTTTTTGAATGCTTAATGATGACTTTTTAATAACTAACAAAAATGCCTACACTGCATCCCGGACATAAAGTTGTACATTCTATATTACATTGCATTCTACATTCATATGGTCATGGTGACTACCAGACCTACATGTATGGTAAAATTTGCACACGTCAGAAGAATTTTTAAGTCTAGGAACCAGACTACCAAGTATGCTGCAGACAACTTGAACAATCCCTATTTCTCAATAAACTTTTTCAGGAAGAACCCCAAAACAGCCACACAGGCATCCGATCCAATTTAAAAAGTTATTAACATTCGAGGCATTACTCCACAAGTTTTCCATGTGTTTTTATATGTGCATGTGTATATTTGAATATGACGCTTGGAAGTTGATAAACACAGAAGCTTTGATGAGAGAGAAAAGAAGAAAGCTTCCACCGTCTGGGGGGATTGGTGCTCAATTAGACCCATTAAAGCAGGGTACAACATCACAGTAGACCCACGAATCCATCACTCAAGGTCATACGCATAATGCCAACTAATGTACAGCCTTTCTGAAGGGCCGCCGAGAACAATGCCTCTGCTACTACCAAAAGCTTCCAGAAAGAGCAGCTACCGATATCTCCACTGGCCAGAGACTGGGTAGATGTACTCATTTCAGACTATCTGCACCTGACTTAAAGCTATAGTGCATTGCGATTGAAAGTTAACCTCGAAAGGGGAAAAACCTTTCACACTTTTTCCCATCCAGGAAAATATTTATTTCACAAAATGTGAAAAATTTTCCCCTCAGCGTGAAAAATTGTCACACTTTTTTCCTTTCTCTGAAAAAGAAAATCACAAGAGGGATATTTTTCACACCTTTTCTTCACCAGTGCAAAAAATGTTCACACCTTCTACACAAGTGGGCCCATTTTTTAACAGCTTTTTTCCACAAGTGGGAAATTTGCCCATGAATGTGAATTCTTTTCACAATTTTTTCCAGTTGTTTTTAACAATGTAATCCTGCCAAATGTAAACAATGCAACAGTAGCCCAATACAATGTACACGTACATTAATTTAGTACACTGTTCACATGTAACACATATACTACACGTACCTTGTTCAATTCAATAGTCAACTTAAGTGGCAAATATGAGCTGTATATAAAAACTGGACAGAGCCAAAGGAGCCAGTGCCCTGAATGCTCATGGGCAGTTTATTATATTTGGTGAGAAAGGTGCTGGTAGATTCAAAACATTAACAATAAATTGACTGCAAGGCCATTGGGAGACCATGGAGCAAGTGCTACCAATTCCAGCTGAAATGTACAGTCTTTGCACATGCCCAGTGTGCCAGTACGACACTTTTCCCACCAGCCTGACTCTTCTTTGCCGGTGAAGGGGCTGAGCCAGAGTGGGGCATCCCCAGCTACCGGTGCATGTTTGCCCTCCTAGACCTAGACACCAAACCCACCTTCTCCCCCAACGGGTAGTCCGGGGGTGAGGATAGCTGGATGTTGGTGATGTTGCGGGCCGGCAGTTCGCCAGAGGGGGCAGAGGGCTTGAGGCCATGGGGCCCCTTGTTGACGATGCGGGCGCTGATGGCCTCCAGGGCGGCAGCAGCTTTGTCTCCCAGGGCCTTGCCGTGCCAGTTCAGCTCATCCTCGATGCCTGTTGAGGGATTAAACCATTCCATGTTAGGGCTTCAACAGTAGTAAATAACGGATACTTGATCAAAATTGGGGGGTTACCCTGGACAATTTTTGTTTTAAACCCAAAAGTCTTCATTCTTCAAAAAGGTGGAGAGGATTTGGGACCATTACAGTTATCATCCCAAAACCACAGCTAAAAAAACATCCTCAGTAATGCTTGAACTCCAAACATATTTTTTCCATGTGTCTAGTTTTCAGATTGACAGTTGTTGCATTCAGTGGTGAATGGGAGGGCAGTTTGCGAGGGGAGGGAATGAGTGGTGGAAAAATACTTTCTCTCGGTTTCCTTGGATTAAAAAAACACCCAAATTGATGGTCTCAAATGACTGTTTCTGTAATCAAACGTCACACTCATCAGGAAATACTCTCAATTCCTTAACAACATAAACAAATAAGACTGTTAAAAAAATTGGATTATCTTTCTGCGTTGGTCGGAACAGCGAAATACCAGTTACACTGTTCATGTTATGTACAAACAATGACCAGAACTATTGATTGAGGCTGCTGTAGGTGGTTAAGTAGAGTCCTTCAGTAGTCCCTGCAAATCCATTACGAGTCCTTCTGTCTCAAGCCAAAGGACTGATCAGTGACGAACATTCCTTTGTCTTCTATAAGCCATCATATACCGGTACAAGCCAATCCAACAAATATATGGGCGTTCATCCCCTATGGTCATTTCGAAGCCAATCCTGACACAACATGTATGCATGTACATGTTTTATGACATGTAGCCACATACAATTACACATACATGTATAGTGGTTAGAATAGTTAGAAACTGGCTCATCATTCTAAACTTAAACTGTGCTGTTTAACAACCTTGGAAACAAACACTCAACTGTTCATACAACTACATGTACATGTACATATACATCTTTGCTGGAACTTCATCCTACCTGGAATGCCTTTGCCCTTGAGGGTCTTGGCCACAATGGCTGTGGGCATGTCCTTCACCTGGGCAGCCCCAAAGAATGCCTTGCACAGGTCTTCAACACTGTGGCCATCCTCCAACACATAAACATGCCAGCTGTAACAAGAAATTAATGGGAACCGACGGGTCAAAGAAAAGTTACTTCATTAGGGGGTCTGTGCTCGAGTGGCTTCCAACCCTGGCCTCCGGGGAAGAGGACTCAGACACAATGAACATCTTATCCCTTAACTTCTCAGCAGAGTAGCATTTTGCTGCGAAATTAACAACGAAGGACTGTTTAAGGACATTCACTGGTACATGTGGCTTAAAGCAATCCCATTTTTACACAGATTAATCAGCACTGTGAAATACCCAACAGTACACGTGCTGGCACAGGTTGGTGAAGTTGCCAGATGATTCTTGTAAATGGGTAAACAATGGACATTTCCAAAGGACATTTTGCCAACCACTAATTCTTTCCAATGTATTAAAAAATCATGACAATGTTGGCTCATGGTAATTGAAAGGGAAAAGCGATATAGCGGCATACAGGGACATCTGTTCAATAATACAGAGAAATGCATGGGGGGTGTCAGTTCTTGATGCTGTCAGGAAGATAAATCTTTGCTTGTGTAAGGGTTGAAATGAAATTGCAGACTTGTCAAGAAGCCTATTCATGCAGGTGTGAAGCCTCGAGAAATACCGAAAACCAATCCACATGTTGGCCTAAATGGAATTTGAGTTTGATCACACAAGGGCAAAAGCAAGAAAACAAAACCTGAACAAGTCTGACTCTTAAACGATTCAACTGAAAACAAATGGAGACAGGTGGTGAACCTTACCCAAAGCCTTCCAGTCGGCGCCTGAAGGCGTCCGTGTCGTGCTGCAAGGGTGCCTCCTGGCTCTGGCCCAGGCGGTTAACGTCAAAGATGGCCACCAGGTTGTCCAGCTTGTAGTAGCTGGCAAAGGCGCAGGCCTCCCAGATGCTCCCCTCCGCACTCTCCCCATCGCCAACGAGGCAATACGTGCGGTAACTACACAAGCCAGAAACAAACAAGACAAGGGTTCAATCACTCACTCTGGCTTTCCCTGCCATTCAAATGTGATGTTGTTAACCCCACTCATTTTTAGTAGCCACTTCAGCCTAGTTTTAGCATACTCTGCCACCTGAAAGAAAAATCACAGAAAAATGTACAAGAAAATCAGAGAAATATTAGCATATTTCACACTGGAAGGCCAACAGAATGTTGAATTACATGTAGTTTATCTGGAAGAAATGGATTAAGCAACTGCGCAATATGAGCGCACGTAAATATATATGCATACAGAACTTTACATACATACTGGTAAATGTACATGTATCTTTGGCTTTGTTGGCACAGTAGACAATGCTTATGTTCCCGTCAAGGAACTTTGCTTTTTTGGGAGGCCACCTCAGCCTCATCCTAGGGGAACCCTGCTCTTCTTGGTCAACTAGTATGGCCATTGCAAAACGGACACATGTAAATGGCCTGTAAGTTATAAAGCCTTGGAGAACTTGACTTGTTCTGACTTGCAACTGCAAAACAAGAGTGACAGTGTGATTTTGCAAACAGGTTAACTATGGTGGCTCAAGTCAAACTGTAATGCATGTGCACCATGTGCACATGGGGAAACGAAAAAGGAAAAACAATTAACAGCTATCAAACTTGAGTTACCTGGTACATGTACATGTACAAAGGTGCTCTTCTTGATCTGATTTTTGATAATGATATCATGTATTTTGATCTGAATTTTAACAGGTAGGTTACTGTATTTTACATAAGCCCTTCGGGCAACCGAGGAAGCAAGCTTGGGTAGTCAGGTAGTACTATTTCAAGCCCTGTGGAAGGGCGTGAATTTTTATCCTTTGCACCCAAGCTCTTTCGAGTGGCCATAACTGAGTGGAGGAAGGGGTGGAGGGGGAAATATTGGGAAGGAGTTAGGAGTTGCAATGTTCAGAATATCCTCCGCTCAGGTTAAACTGGCTGGTACTCACTCGGCCTTCTCCCAGTACTTGCCACTATAGGCCATGCCGCACGCAATGCTCAGACCCTGACCAAGTGAGCCGGTACCAACATCAATGAAGTTCAGTCTCTACAGATAACCAGAGAAAAAAAGAATCAAATGTACATTTACGGTGATTAAGCTGCCAGTATATAAGCATCATATAGTTACTCTAAATACGGTACTTGCAGGCATCTTAAACGTACAAGCTTAACATGTAAAGTTCAGAAACAAATGACATGAGGACACGGCTTATTTCAAGGCACAGGTCCCTTTCAAACCAAGCAAAGCCTTTGAGTTGAAGCAGTGTTTGAACATGTTGAAGGACATGAAGTCCATAACTGAAACACTTCTGTCTCAAGTTGAGCCCGACAGTACCACTCCCTTATACTGCTACATGAACAATTCTTTTGCGTTGAGAGATCTACATGTAATGCCACATTCCAGTGTAACACTCATTCATTTTCATGCACACGCCCTAATGGTCAATGAGCAAATGGCACAGTGCATGCAGGCCGCCAAGGGTTAAGGTTTGTGACTCCTTGCCAGAGGGTCATGGCCATAAGTTGTGGTCTGGGGGAAGCCACAAAATACCGGTCAAACCCTGCTTGCTTTTGTCCTACTTGGCATATCAATGGGTATCTCAATTAAAATACCATACTTGGGGAGCAATGTGTGATGGACTGGCATCACATCCAGTGGTACTGGTACGTGTATTCTCAGTCTTTCCAATGCGACAGACACCAGACATACATGCAATGTATGTATAGAAAAGATGGCCTGATGAGCTGAATGAATCAGAACAGACTTGCTTTAGGTCTAGTCTTCCTTCTAGAATGGGAAATCAGCCTACTAAAAGGTACACGTTTTGTACATGTACGAGGCTAGAATGCATCCATTGTGAATACAAAAAAATTCCTGGTAAGTATTTGGGCATATGTGAAGTACAGTACAGGTAGCTATAATCTAGACTGGGAAAATGGGAACATGTGGTACAGTATGCTGCTTTTTATTCTTTTTTTTTTTGGCGATGACCTGCTTTGAGGAGGCTCTCAACTGTACTTACCGGTGTGGGATGACCCTCCAGAACGGAGGTGTTCTGGCGCAGGGTCAAGAGATTATCCACAGGGAACAGACCAGCCTCTGCCCAGGCAGCGTAAAGGATGGGTGCCGCATGGCCCTAGGGAAATCAAGGTCAGAGAGAAACTGGTAACCAAGAAGGTACATGTACATGCAACAGTAAGTCAGTATCCTCTATTGTTCTTCTTTTGTTCATACACTGACGACAAACATCGCTCCATGAAAATGTCCATGGATGTACATGTACATACACAGCTCACTGTGCCTAGATTGGAAAAAAAAGATCTCCTGATTCTCCCACTTCAATTTAAACATTTACACTGACACAAAAGACTTATTCCATTTTAAAGAATCTATACATACACGTACACCTTGAACATGCATACATGTACGAGTTACGTACATGTACATGTACTGGTACGGTACCAGTACCGTACAATGTACATGTACCTTGGTTTCATCTGCTGTGAACAAAATACCGGTAGGCTGCCTAAAATAATATTGTACATATATATACAGTACATACACTGTACATGTGCTTTCTCATACCAGTACATACACGTACAAGTACAGTGTACTCTGTATAGAGGTTTTTTACGTGACTTACCGGTAACATGACGGGCAAAGGCTTTTCGGGAAGTGCACATGCATTTTTAAATCTGGATATTTCTGTTGGCGATTTCATGTATGCCAAAACGTTGAGAGATTTTGAAGGTGCGAGTGTTTCTGCACACATCTGTGCAAGATGAACGTTGACTGTCAAACATCACATGACTGGAAATCCTCCATACCAACCGGTGCATGTATAACAGTGCATTTAAAATGAAAGTTACTGTTACCGTACGTGTATACTGTACATGTACGTGTACCGGTACCGGTAGCTACCAGCAGGAATGACAATTTGTGGAAATAATTTCTCACTTGAATTGGCAGTTCCCTCCAATTAAAACTGTTTCGAAACGTGAAAGGAGACATTTTAGAATAAACACTCAACAAAAGGATTCTTATGTTCTGACATTGGACTCATACATGTATCGGTACAGTAGGTGCCAGGTGCAAACCTTTTTTAGATGTGGCCACTTCCACAACACTTGATCATAATGTCAATGTGAAAACAAATTAAGTGCCCCACTGCCCTAAATATATTTTTTCAACCAATTTCTGGATACCTTTTCAATTTTCAGACTCATCTACACGTACAAGAACAAGTACATGTCAATTGTTCCCATAAAGTGTACATGTACATGTGCTTTCCTGCAACAGGAGACCTGTATGAAGGTACATATATACCTATGTACTGGGTACACTGTACTGGACAAAGAAGCTTGGTAACATTTGAAAACAGCACGAGAAAAGTTGTACACATGTAGCATCCACGTACATGTATCACATACATGTACTAGTTACGATACATGTACATGTACATACAGCGTACAATGTACATGTACATGTATATGTCCAAGTACAGTACCGGTCAACACGGGCACATGTACTGTACCTGTACATTCTGGTTTTGCATTTGCTACAGTTATTCATTATTATTCATTCAGTTATTCAGTTATTTTTCTGTGTTTTTGTGCATACCGGTATGACAAGCAATGAACTACAGACTACTGGGTACAACCGGACGAATGCGTCATGACTTCATGATGGGAGGCTGCGAAACAT